TTTAAATGACATCACCTATCAGATTTTACATCCACACAAGAGTGCTTTTCAGTTCTGACCGCTAATTCAGTTTATGTAGAATTAGGGAACGGTTACCACAGAATAAAACTGCAATGCTAAAAGTACCAGCAATAAGAGATTAAGAGATTAAAAATTATGTCTATATTGTGCTACTTCTGCAGGATTTTATTTTTTTGGCTCATTCCAAAATGTGTTAATTTTTTTTGTAGAAAAGCTTTACACACTGGTGGAATTCAAGAAAGAAAGAAAGAAAGAAAAGAAAGACATTTGGCCTTTCTTTCAGAAGAGATTGTGCTATTCCTTCACTTGTTTTCATTCCACATGAAGGAACTCAGTTTGTCCCAGGATTTCCAATCCTGACTCCTCTTAGCACTGCACTGTGAGCCTTCCAGGCTGCACTCTCTGCTCTTTCTGACCTGGGGGTAGCACTGGTCTAAAACACAGGTGCAGCATTCGGGTATTGTGAGAGGTGTCTGCCACAAGGAACTCCATACTTATCAACTCTTCAGCATCTTCCTCAAGTCTAGCTCTGCTTTGGATGTGTCAGGTTTCTTCCCATCTGCCAAGACCTGTTTCTTTAGCTCACTTTCAAATATGGTCTCCTCAGCATTTTTTTCTGAATCTTTTATTTGTGTTTGAGAAACAGCAGACCATTGAACATCTCTCTCAGCACTCCTTTCTGCCTTCAGACCGCATCAGAGTACATCAACAATTTACTGGGCCACTGATGAGTGCAAAATGGGCAAACAGGAGAGTCTTGCAAAACTCACTTTCATTAAAAGAAATAGTCTTATAGTGTTTATATACAGAAAGAAAAACAGCAGAGTGTCAATCAGGCATAGAAAGCAGTGCTGTCTGTATATCACTATCCATCAGCACTAGAAATTTAGAAATAAAAGTCAGTTTAGGCAATCAACCCAAGATCCCAAGGAAGAAAAAAGGAATACTAGAGAATATGGCTGCTCTTATAACAGCTAGAAGACTTGAGAGCAAGGAGAATAACAGAAGAGAGCAATTCTCACAGCAGTTAAGTATATAAATTATTTACTAGTCAGAGACCGAGACAGCAAGGATAAAGCTACAAAGCAGGATCTAGACACATTATCTCAATCATAGCCCCATTCTCTCTCTTCTCCCTCATCAGAGAGAGAAAAGAGTAGAGCAGAGCCCTGCTATTGATCTCCTCATTATTATTATGCTGCATAAATGCGCAGTATTTTCCTATTTCATTAGGAGAAATAAATCTAACTCTAATTTACAGTCTTACACCTAAAGTAGCCCTCTGTATGATCCACATATCCTACCTCTACCCCATGCAAGCAAAAGTTTTAAGTCTATTAAAGCCTGTCCTGTGAATAAAGGTTACCAGGCTTTTACTACGCAGAAATAAGGGCAGGTGACATCACCAGTTACTTATTAACTTATAGCATAAAGAAAAACCATAAAAATGAGTATGAGAGTAGTACCACAAATGCAACAGGCAATAAAATTAACTGCCTCACACGTGGTGAAGAAAACCCAACAAGTCCCACATTCCAGATGCAGTACGGGACGGTGTATCCCTGCTGCAGGACATTTCATTCCTGTGTAGAGGGGATAGCAGGGGGCAGGCGAGGGAGACCTGGCGCTCCGCAGGGCGAGCAGGGGAGAGGGAGCCCCAGCGGGGCCATGGGGAGGGTGCGGGCACAGAGAGGCCCCGGGAGGCGTGAGGAGAGGGGCTACCGGGAACAACTCACAGCACCAGCGGGCCCGCCGGGGGCGGCTATGCCCGGAGCGGCCGCGGCCTCCCCTCAGCCCCGGTACCTGGGCCCGGAGCGGCCGCGACCTCCCCTCAGCCCCGGTACCTGGGCCCGGAGCGGCCGCGGCTTCCCCTCAGCCCCGGTACCTGGGCCCGGAGCGGCCGCGACCTCCCCTCAGCCCCGGTACCTGGGCCCGCTCCGCCGCCGAGCTCCGGTCTCCAGGCAACCGCAAGCGCCCCGGGAGCGGAGCCAGCGGGCGGGTCCGCGGCGCTACCGGGCCAATTGCGGGGGCTGCTGGTTGTTTTACTTTGGGTTGTTCGGGTTTTTTCTTTAAAGTAACCTCTGCTTTGGCCACGGCTGTGGTCCTTTCATACCTCAGCGGGAAAATTAAATTAGTGACGGGTCTAGAGGAGACAGTCTTGAGCTGCGCCAGAGGAGGTTTAGGTTGGACATCAAGAAGAATTTCTTCACAGAAGAGATGATTAGATATTGGAGTGGGCTGCCCAGGAGGGTGATGGGGTCACGGTCCCCAGAGGTGTTTAACTGGACGAGGCACTCAGTTCCCTGGTCCAGTTGACACAGCGGTGTTCGGTCACAGGCTGGACTGGATGGTCTCGGAGATCTTTTCCAACCGAACCGATTNCCCCGGGACAGCCCCGCGGCGCAGGGGCCGGGACTTGGGAGGCACCCTCGGGTTTCGCCCTCGGTTAAGGTGCCGCGGGGTCGGGGAGCGGCGGCGGCCCCGCGGTGAGGGGAAAGGGCGGCCCGGTCCGGGCGGGAGCTGTTCCCCCCCGGTGCCCTTTCCCGCCCGCGGGGCTCTCCCGAGCTCGGTACGAAGCCGTGCGGAGACGAGTTTCGCTCCCCGAAGGTGCGGCTGACCTCTCTCCCGGGAGGAAGCGGCCTCCTGCTTCCTGGCAGCCTCCAGTATCGGTCGCATGCTGCCAGCTCGGCTGGGACCCGGGCGCTGGGCACGGACACGGGGGGATCCCCCTTGGCCTCTCGCAAGCGCCCACCCCAGCTTTTGCTGCTGGCTCAGCAGCCACAACCTGTTGAGGATTTCTGGGGTAGCTGCAGTGCTGCTGCACCTGCTGAGCACCTGCTCGAGTGGGGGGCAGGAGCTCGCCTCCCTGCCCACGGGCAGCCTTCAGCCAGCAGAGTTCTCTCTGCCAAGCTTTGCAGGCTACTTGACTTCTAATCTCCTCTTGAAAATAAAGCGACCATTTCGCTTCTTGGATGCCTGGGTTTTGGCTGATAATCTGGCTTTATATACTGAAGTTCGGTTTTTCACGGAGAACCATTGAAGGAAGCAAAAAAGAATGGAGGCTATGCTTGTTTATTGTCTTGCTTGACAGCTGTGTTCCTGGAAGATGCTCTAGCCAAAACTTGGCTACACGGGGTCCAGAGATTCGTGTCTTCATTGCAAAGCCATAAATGTAGCCAAAACTTACTAGATTGGTGGTGCCCATACTTGTTCTTTCCAATCAGGATAAGAAAGATAGTGTCCTGCAGTGGAGTAATGCAGTCCAGCCTTAATTTCACACTTAATTTTCAGTTTTCTTGGAGGTTAATGGGAAACACTGGACATGCAGCAACATCTTACTCTTTGCTGAGGAGGAACAGTAGGTTTTCAACCTCTTTAGAAAATAAGGAACTTCCCCTTCAACTCTGGCTGTTTTGAAGAACAGAGTGAGTGAGAAAGCATCCCTTCCATAAAGAGATGTGGGTTTTGTTAGTAAAAAGCACACAGTAATTTTGAATGTTTTATTCTTGTCAGAGAGATGCTGTTGTAGGAAATCCATGGAAAACATTCTGTTCCCATGAGCCTTGACAAGTCATAATTCATATGGGGTCTCATTTAATTGACACTGAGATCAAGGTTTTGCTGATCTTGAGAGTTTGAATTGGTTTCTTGTGATTTTCTGCAATAAGACCCTAGAGTCAGCTATTTCACAATGAAAGCTGAAACAAGATGTGTTGAACTACAGTGCTTTTAAATAAGAGCAGCTGTAACTACCTGTCAGTGGTCTGGATCTTGCCATGCTACAGCATTGTAATAAACTTGTTTTATCTAGAGGCTTGCACAGCTGCTAGTTTTTTTTGTGTTTAAGTGCATGTGCGTATATCTTATTTTTCAGAAAAGCCTCGGGTTCAGGGGTTTCCCTGGCCCTCTCTGTTTGTGTGGTATTCTTAAGGCAAATGAGTTTGCTCTGCCTATGCTTTCAGTTGGCTGACGAGGAGTGCCATTTCAAACCAGAAACTGAGCAAGTACTACATTGACAATACCCTGATGCAGAATGACTTGTTGAGGCAGCATGCACCTCTGCAGCATCTCCTCCAGTGTGGAAACTGTGTGAGCTTGTATTTGCCTGGAGTGTAGTGTGGAGGTGGCAGCCTAAGAGGACACTGAATGATGCTTGACCAAGAATGATGTTTGCAGTTGTGGTCCAGGTGTTACTACATAGTAGTAGCAACTTGTTCTCTTGTTTTCATCCTGAAAACATGGACTAGAGGGAAAATCTTTGAATATATGATAAAAATCGAGTGTTGGTTCATGGATACCTGTACAGTTGGTACTTTCAAGCATCCCACTTTTCTTCCTGACTTTCCTGCTGCCATGCTCCGCAGTTAAGAAGCAACTAGTACAGTGCTGCAATCCCTGCCTGGTTCTCTGGCATATATTCCAAAGAGGGCATCCCACACTTGCCCTTCACTGTTTGTATTCCCTTATCAAAGGCAACTGCTGATAACTTTGCTATTGTTAACGACAAGCACAACTTACTGTACAATCAAGGTTTAAATAAGATAAACATGTTTCTGGAGTATAGCTGAACTATGGTATAGCTTATGGGAAACTTTGTAAAACCTCCCTGAGTGTGTGCAGCTGCTTGGATGGAAAGTGCTGTGGAAGTTGTTTTGATGCGTACATAACAAATACATAATGATAGCTTCATTAAAAGGATAAAAGGTGGTAATTGATGTGTGCTGTTCTGAAGTAGTGATAAACAATTAGCTACAGTGCTACAACCTGAGAGTTGTATTGTCTTAATCCTGGTCACCACTAGATAACATTCTGATGAGTGTCTGAGCAAGACCTTGATAAAATTCATTTGGTGTTTATACAAACACATGGCCCTGCAAAACTTTTCTGATTAGGATTAAAAGCCGAGGGAGTCCTGTCCCGTGTGCTTCTGGGACAGTTTTCCCCATGCAGAAGGAGAGCACAGAGTAATGTGTTTCATAATGGCTACTCATGCTTTGGAGAAAATAATTAAGGTGGGCCAATGAAGCTTTCTTGTGTCAGGGAAAGATGTGGTCATGTTCTAACCAGGATTTGTAACCCTGGGTAACTTCACCAGAAGGGCTGGGAGGTCTGTAGGTGCAGGTCCTGGACGAGGCCAAAGGAGATGTACTTGGGCCATTATATGGTGCAGATGGTGTGATAGGAGGCCTGGAAAGTCTGTGGGCTGACAGCCTCCTGTGTTCTTGTTTGCAGGCTGCCTCTCTCTCCTGGTGACAGTGCAGGATGTTGAGCGTTACACCACCTTATTTGCCACTGTCATCCTCAAGTGTGACTACAGCACCTCGGCACAGCTGCAGGACGTGGTGGTGACCTGGCGCTTCAAATCCTTCTGCAAGGACCCCATCTTTGACTACTACTCAGCCTGTAAGTGTCAGGCTTGTCTTCCAAGGAATCCCCCTTCAAGTGGGAAAAAAGGGGAAAGTAGATTCACTGGGGTAGTACAGGCTTTTGACCCCTTCCTATGCAAAAACCAGGTGGTGACATTTCCTTGCACTCCAAGGAAATGCAGGTCATGTCTGTGATTTCCTTTGAAACGGCAAGGCCTTATGAGATTGTAGAAATCCCATCCAAAGCAGCTCTTTTTTGTCCTCCTTGTCATCAACTCAGAATACAGGGCAGTTCAGCTGTGGTTGACACAAGCCAATCTTGGCAGCCCCATCTTAGGCTTCAGCATGTTTGAAAGCAAGGGCCCTGCAACAAGTGGGCTTAAGGATTCAATGGTTGACCTGTGCTTGGAGCTGGATACCTGTGACCAGGTGTTACTGATTTTAGGAAATAGAAGAAACACATGCTTTTTGAAGGGCATGAAGGCTTCTAAATAATAACATTTAGTAGTGGTGGGAGTGGGAGCATTTCATGTGCTGACATTCTGTTGCAGGCAGTCTTAATTCAGGGTGTTTAATATGGTACATAAACTGCATCCCAGGATAACCACTTGGTCCAAAAAGGTTATTATTCCTCTACATTTAGTGTTGGTGTGGCCTCACTTGGAGTATTGTATGTGGTTCTGGGTCCCAGGATTTAAGGATGTTGAGGTACTTGAATGCATCCAGAGGAGGGCAACAATGCTGATTGATAGAAGGCCTGGAAGACACATCCTGTGAGGAGCAGCTAAGAATTTTGGGCTTGTCTAGTTCAGGAAAAAGGAGACTGAGGGGTGACATCATTGCTCTCTACAGCTTCTTGAGAAGGGGAAGTGAAAAGAGAGGTGCTGATTTTCTCTCCCTGGTATCCAGTGATAGGATGTGTAGGAATGGCTCAGAACTACATCATTTGTGTGCTACTTTACATTTTAGTCAATCCTGATATGATCAGACAGTTGGACTTGATAACCTTTGTATGTCCCTGCCAACTGAACTATTCTGCTCTGTTCTGTTGTTTGTAAACCCTGCAGAATGTTTAGGTATATAATGTTTAGCCATAGCATAACTGTACACTTAGAACTAAACTCACAGTGGGTACTTGGTGGCCAAACTCTCCTTTGTGCAGTCTGGATGGGTTGGGTAGGCATACTACCAAGTGCTCTACAGCCTGGTCCCCAAGCAGGTGGGTCCCTGGCTCAGCTGATCCCAGCAAAATGTGAGTGATTTTAGCCCAGGCTCAAGCTAATAGTCCCCAAAAGGGACTTCATGCTCCATTTTAGGTATGGCACTGAAAGAGCCTTTGACAAGCTTTGTCCTCATCTCTCTTCACTGTGAGCTCTTCACAGAAAATGCTGACTGAATCAGCCATTTCCCCAAATCTCAGCTCCTAAATACTTGGAAATTCGATGCTGGTTTATGAAATGAGTCTGTCAAAAAAATATTGTACAGAAATTGCCTCTAGTCCTCCAGTAATTCTCTTGTGTCTTTACATTTAATCCTTAGCTGGACTCACATGATGGATTATTTTCTGTCTTTATGAGCTCCACAACATGTAATGGGATGCAGGAGGGAAAGGGATACAATCCATAGAGCAGTTCACGTATGTCTGGAGATTTTGTTTGGTAGATAAACACCCTTTTGTTTTAGTTCTAGTACTCCTGGGTGTTTTATGACTTTTCTTTCAGCTTCATACTAGGAGCTGCCTTCCAGCCTACTATCATTAGCTTTTTTCTACTTCAGTCATGAGTATGGAAAGGCATCTCCTCTGCAACTCATGCATTCTCAAAATCTCTGCCATTCCTGTGGCTCTACCTCTGTTTGTTTTTGAGTACTCCAGAGCAACTTACTGGTTTGAAGTCATGGTTTGTATTACTAAACCAGAACAATTGCACACAATGTACTCAAGAATTTCTCTGCTGCTCACAAGACGATAGAAATTGGTCTTTTGAAATAACTTCTGACATCTCTGATGATATGTGTTTGTAGCATACCAGGCTGGTTTAGCCCTTGGCCAGGACCCCTCTAACGACTGCAATGACAGCCAGCGGAAGGTGCGCATTGTCATCCAGAAATTTGGGCAGAAGGACCCTGTGTTGGGCATCGACTACCAGCAGCGAAAGATCACCATTCAGAACCGTGAGTGACCTCCCAGGCAGGCAGTGAACTCAGGAACTATCCAATATCTGGGTCTGCTAAGTGAAGAGAGCATGGTTAATGTCATCTGTAGCTTATATACTGCACATGGTAATGGAATTAGAGCAGTGTCCCCAGCTGGTCTGAGGGTGTTGGAGGCACTACAACCTAAGGCCGAGCTGAGGATGCCAGAGCATTTTGCTGAAGAGCATAACTGAGGAGCTCAGAAGCTAGAAAACAGTTCATTCTTCCAAGTACTACATAATTGTCCAGGTGTGTTACATGCTCCCTGCTGTCCATGGAGCAATAGATACTGCTCCTGCCAGAAGAGCCATAGGGATTGCTGACCTAAGAGGGATAGTGATCTATGTTCCAAAACCAGTAGGGCTGGCTTCCAGCAACACAGAAAACATGGACTGGCAGTGAATGCTCTTTGTAGGAGTTGTCAGTGGACTCCAGTGGGGTTGTTTGAAGGTGATAGCTATGCTTGGGAAGAGGGGAGATGCAGTACTCTGTGTCTCCTGCAGGCAGAGAGCTCTTTTCAGATGGAGCCTGAACATGGTGTCTGTCAGCTGCAAATATCCCACTGACCTCTCAGTCCCTCTCCCACAGGAGCAGATCTTGTCATCAGTGAGGTCATGTGGTGGGACCACGGCATGTACTACTGCACTGTGGAAGCACCAGGAGATACCTCAGGTGATGCAGACAAAGAAGTTAAGCTGATTGTTCTCCGTAAGTGCCTGTGCTTTGTTGCCAAGATAACTCCTCCTGTTCTTCTCCACCCCAAGACATCTCCAGCAGTGGAGAGGTGCTCAGTAAGCTACCATGGCCAGATATATTAGGATCAATCCTTTTTCTCACTCCTTTTTCCCCACAGACTGGCTCACAGTACTCCTCATTATTCTCGGTGGCCTTCTCCTCCTTCTGCTGATTGGGATATGCTGGTGCCAGTGCTGCCCCCAGTATTGCTGCTGCCACATCCAGTGTGGCTGCTGTCCAACACGGTGCTGCTGTAATCAGAAAGGTGAGGTTTGAGCAAATGTGCATCCATTTTTGGCTTCTGTCAAGAAAAAAGCTTGTCTGGGAGCTTGCTGAGCTCCACTTTCTCTCTTTTGTTCAGCATCCATATAAACTGAGACATTTCTTTGGCCAGTGTGACCTCCATGACCAGCTAATCTGAAATTAGAGGGGGGATTTTGGATACATGGAATCTATCTTGCTCCTCTGTGTCCAGCTGTCAAGTTTCTCCTCACTCACACCTTGTTACCAGCTTCTCTCACACCATCCAGGGCACAATCAGTTCCCTTGTCTGAGTAGCTCAGGACTTTCTTTCCTGTCTTGTGGTTCATATGCCTGTGTATGTGAGAAAGGCAAGCAAATGCCTTGGTACTAGTCTCCAAACTAGTATGTTGCTCTGAGAAGAATTTCATAAAAATTGGAAATTTTTTATCTGCACCTTTTCTTCAGAGCTGCTCCTTCTACTAGGAAAAGGTTTTGTTTGGTTTTCTTTGGGGAAGAAAGTGAAAGTGGAGAAAGATGGTCTCTCTGCTGGTCAGCCTTGCAAGTGCATTCTGAAGTTTTGAGGGTAAAAAGAAACTTTGTTGCATTTGCTTTTATCAGTAATGAAATTTCTACAGACCCTGTTCTTTTAAGAAGGCTAATGTTTGAGTTTTGGCTGTTAATTTCATATAACCTCTGCATTCCTGTAACTGAAACTTGGTTAGCAACAAGTAGACTAGTCCCCCTGAACCTTACACAGTCTGACAATAGCAAAATACAACAAATAAGTTTATTTATCATTGAAATCACCAGGTTCTTCCCCAGATGCTACAAGGAGAGGATTTATGAAGAAGGAGCTCTGTTTCAGATTTACCTTGACTTTCAAAGCAGCTATTTAGTATAGCTTGGGTGTTAGTAAGCTGTGAGAGTTTTAGATTTAAGTTGAATTTGCTTAGCCCTTGCAAAGAGTGAACAGAACATCCCTTTTATTGCTAAACCCAAAACTAAACATTGGAGGCTTTACAGGTTGTCATGTAAAATGTGTAGTGTTGAGGAGGCTGTGGAAATCTGGCAGAAAAATCAGTTTCTGTGAAGGGGGAGAGAGGTGATGGAGATGAGAGACGTACACCTCCAGAATTCCTAGTTCTCAGCAAAAAAAGAGGTTCAGAGTTTGTGTGAGCTCCTTTCTGTTTTTCTGTGCTGCAGATTATAGCTCACTCCAGACTGCTGCTGTTATTTCCTGCCTCCTGTTAAAGAGGAGGGATTCTTGTGGGGTTCTCTAAGCCTCTCCATGTTCATGAGAGAAGGTACAGACAAGTCCAGCCTCCTTGACTGGATGCTGGATTCTGTATCTGTAATTTCCATCCAAGATGCCTGCCCTCTTTATCCATATTGTAAGGGATGCTTTTGCCTGTTCCTCTCCACTAATACGCCTTCTCTTTACGACAGCCTCCCTTTGACTTATCCTATTGGCACTCCAAGAAATGAACTGGAGGCCTTGCAAAACACAGGAGGATAGATTCAGGGGACATCTCTGAAACAGTGCTGAGGAATAACATTCCACACAGCTGAGGAGAAGGCAGAAATCCTCACCTGTGTAGATCGCAGGGTGAGTGTGGGTGCTTCCTTCCCCATCGTCGGCCACTAGAGGACAGCGTGGATCTGCTGAACAATCACAGGAGCCAGTGAGGCAGATAATCCTGGGTGCTGTGAATCACACCGTTAACGAGCATGGGTTTGAAGCGAGCAATAAAAGGAGTGCAATGTTTGAGTAATTCAGGATTGATGTACAGAAATATTAGACATGCCCCAGGAGCAAGCCAATTACATTCCCCGTGGAAAGCTCTGAAAAAAGCCCATTGGAGTAAATATACATATGACCTCCTACTGTTCCTATTTGTTCCTTTTCTGCTGTGGACTTCTTCCAGTAATGAATCAGGGAAAAAGAGGATATACTTGCACCTGGGTCTCACTAAGTTGCAAAATATTTTATTTTTATAATTGGCCCAGCAGCTGTTGAAGTCTGTCAAAGGTGAAGAACAGATTTTTCCAGCAGAGAATAACTGGAGGGAGCAACACAACTTTCTGGCAAAATGGGGTAGGAGTTTTGGAATTAGGGTGAATCTGACCTTCCTCAGATAAATATGTTCACTTTAAAAAGATCTGTAACTTCTGTTTGGCAGATGGGAAATCAGAGTATATATTGGATTCAAATTGGAAGGCAGAGTATCTGGGGAAGGAAGAAGGGCTGATGGTAATGAAGGAAGACCAAGGCTAATTCTGGATTTGTTAAGCTGTAGGGAGAGATCAGATGACAGGGACAGGATGACTGTGGTCCTAGTGACAGCCTTCCTACCTTAAGAGGGAGAATGCCAAGCAGGTGTGCTCACAGGTGCTGGACCTCTTACTCCTCAGGCAAAGACCAAGCTCAAAACCCCAAGGATGTGCACTCAGCAAGCTCTAGGACATTCTCAAGGTAGTAACTGGAGGAATGGGAGAGGGAGAGATAAGGCCTTCCCCTTCTGTTTATCCCTTTTCTTTGTATTCCTATTCTCTCATTCTCTAAATTTGAAATGTAAACTGGAAGGCTATCCCTTGGGAAAAAAAAAAAAAAAGGAATCAAATCAAGTTTGACATAAAGTTCTTGGCAGCTGCTACCTCAGACCACACAGCTTTGAGGATACTGAGATTATTAGGATTAAAACCCCTGAAGTTTACAGCTTTGTAGTTCCCTCTGGTTGAAGCCAGACTGGGGAGGGGAAGGGAGTTTGCAGTGAAGAATCAAGTGGAGCTTCACAAAGTGTGGAGAAAAGGAAGGATGTGTTAAGAGGCATGGTCAGTCCCTCTTGCTGCAAGTGATGCTCTGGATAAATCCAGTGAAACAGCTGAAGGAGGACATGTTTAGTAACTGGAGTGCTACCTAAAGTGGAGGGCACAGTCCCACAGGGCATGCAGTCTAAATGCTGCCTACTGCAGTGAACCCAGGGGACAGAATTAATTGGAGCTTAGCTGTAGCCTGGTTTCTTAAAGAAGCAAATCTTATGCAGTCAACTTGTATGTCTATCCCTTGTCTCTTTCCCTCCAATAGCTTTTAATTTCATCAGCCCGCTTCAGCCAGATTGATCAGAGGGGTGAAAGTCTCAAAGGCAATTATGTTCCTATCTGTTTCTTGAACTGTAATGTTTTGTTCATGCCTGACTAGACAGGAGGCTGCAGTAAAAGTCTGTGACTTCTGAAACTCCAGGAAAGCCATAAAAGAAAAATTTTTAGAGGCACTGTTGCTGAAAAGCTTCAGCTAGTAATAACAGACAAACCAGGCTTTGTAAGGTCAGGGACTTGCAGAATTTACTTGCTTCTAAACTTAAGTTTTGATTGTTTGTGGTAGTTAAAGTTAAGTTAAAGTTAAGTTTCTGTAAGATATTTTTAGGTATTCCCCCAAATGAGGCAGCAATGAGGTATGGATTGAAGACAAGTGAGCTTGTCTGTGTTGAGGGGATGAGATAGAAATGCTGAAAAAAAGGAAGTGAAATTGGAGTCTGACCCCACTAATAGGGGTCTGGAGTTAGCAGTGGTGGAAAGCCTGTGAAAGAGAGAAATTTCCACTGTTTCACACTGGACACTGCTGTTGAGAGCAGGAAATTTAGTTTGTTCACCACTTTGACCACACTGTCTTAGGGGATTTAATTTTAGCAGTCATTCTGAGGTAAATTATGGAGTGACAAGAGTGGTCAAAAGACTAGAAAGGGAAAAGCTGAACAGTGCACCTCTGAGTGGCCTCTTTGTGAAACAGAGAGAAAATGATGGAGTGTAGAGTGGAAAATATGATCTGGACGGAACCCATATAATGGTTGCAAGGAAAGGTCTCATTTAGTGGGAAATAGAAGCCAAAAGAGAAAAGGACCAGTGAAGAGGTGAAAGAACTTTGAGAGAGAGAAAATTGTTGCATGTCTTGATGTATGAAACATTATTTCTCACCTTTCTGCAGCCCTACTCATAAAGTCAGGGCAAGTAGAAGTCTTAACTTAGTTATGTGCTGCATACTTAATCTTAGTGTAATTTGTTCCCAGTTGTTGGGACTGGAATCAGAATGCTAGTAAAGCTTTTCTTCTGTTTTAGGTACTTTTTTGAAGATGTACAACTTCGCATTGGAATTTCCTGTGCTCTGATTTACCTTTGTTATAGGATGAAGAGAGATTTTAATTTTTTGAGCTTCCTGTATCCAAAGGCTACAGCCTGTGAAGCAAAATGGTATGTGATCTGCAAATTGTGCCCTCTGGACAGGTACTGTAAGCTTTCTTTTTCTTTTACAGTACTGGAACGGCACCAGTTCATGAAGCGGGCTCAGGCACTCGCGCCTTGGTTATCACCCAACATGTTCTATGGAGCTGGCGACAGGAACTCAAAACATTCCTCTTACCAGCTGAACCCTCTGCTGCAACAAGGTGAGACCATGGTTATCATTTCAGAGGGAAATCAGGATGAGAAACAGGTAGCTTCTTCAGGAAGTTCAGCATTGATGCTTTAGCCTCTCTACCAGAAAAGAGAGAAGGATGTTCCTAGCATGACTGTAAATCCTAGAATGACAGCTCTGCCATACCTGCAGCTCACCAAAAACTTGTCTGGGTGCATAAAAACAGCCTGGTATCCTAATTGTCTTGCTGGGCTCAGTGCTGGGTGAAGCAGTTTAACACTAACTAAGGTGTATCTGTGCTACACCCCAGGGACTGCAGGGTAAATATACCCAGCTTATCTTGCTTTGTGTGGCAGAGGAGGGTACTGTCTCTTTGTTCTGCTGTGCTGGTCACGGTCAACTCCTTATAGCCAAAACTGACATGACAAGTGAGGTGCAATTTGTTTGAGTTCTTATCAAATGTCTAGTCTTCAAATGATTAAGGGCAAACTGCCTTCTGTGCAGCAGATCTAGCCTGCATGCAGCAAAAAATGAAGGACTCTTTAATGAACCAGGAAGAATTTTCTTCTCCATTTGTTGCTTATATCTGTACATAGATGTGTGTGTGTATGTATGTGTGCATACATATAAAAATTTATTTTTTTTATTTTCATTTTCTTTTGCAGTATTTCTTCTGGTTCAATGAAATGCAAAAGGAAACATTATGGTCTTTCTCTGATTATTTTTAAATAAAATATGGTATTAGTGCTGTAGGAAAAAGTGTTCCTTTAAATACACAGACTGTATTTCCAGGTCTGCTGGAAGCTTACCTCTGTACTGCCTAAAACATGTTAGATCATGCTGCAGCTTCTTAGTTACTACTCTTTGCATCATACCTCATTTGGTCTGGTTGTGGTGCCTGAGACAGCTCTTGCAGTGAGGTGGAGCAGGAGAAGAGAAGCAACTCAGCCAGGATCATGAGTGCAGAAGGGCCTTCAGTGTTTTCTCTTGACTTTCTGTGTTCTCCTGTGCTTTTATCCTTAGATGTATCTCTACAGAACAGTCTTGCACTGGTGCAGCCACAAGCCCAGCTTTCCCATAAGAGCGGTGTTCTGGACTATCTGGAGTCTGAAATCCAGAACCTGAACGTGTCCCAGCCGCGGGCGCCTCCCCACCAGCGGCAGGCTGTGCAGCCCAGCTTGCTGTCCTCGCTGGGCTCCGACATCCTGCCACCTCCTCTTACCGACCACATCTCCTCCATCCATGGCAGCAGCAGCTCCTCACGGCCACAAAGAGCTGCCCGCACCCCCAGGCCCTGGGACTCCGCAGCAGAGGACAGAAGGGAAAACAGGAGGTGGCCCTTGCCTTCCAGTGGGGATTCTCATTCCAGCTACAGCCAGGAGCCTTGGGACAGACAGAGAGAGGATCATCCTCAGAGGCAGAGGACAGGTGGCTACAATGGCAGGCCCCAGCACTCCAGACGTGATGTGTCACCCCCACGCCAGGCTGAGAGGGGCAAGAGCAGCAGCAGTTTCTATCCAGAGGAGACCAAGGAGCGCTCCAGCCACCATCGTGGTGGGAGGCAGGAGCCCGGGGGAAGGCGAGAATATGAGCACCATGCTGGGAGGAGCAATTACTCTGGCCAGAGGCGACACAGCTACTCCCCCCCCTCTTCTCGCAGGGGCTCGTGGAGCTCCTCAGAGGAGCAGGTCCGTGTCCCGGTGTCAAACCGCAGGCGGAGGAACCGCAGGTCCCGGGAGTGGCCAGAAGAGAAACCCCCCAGTTATCGCTCCTTAGAAATCATCCCAGCTCAGGACAAGAAGCACAAAAGCAGTGCAGGGACCCGCTCGGTGAGTCAGCTGCCTTTGTGCTTTCCCATCTAAGGGAAAAGGTGGGGTTCAGGGATTGAGAGGGAGTGTTTTCTACCTTCTGTAGTCTGTTGTCTTTCAAAAAGAGGCCAAGGAGCAAGGAGTGCTCTGCACAGCATGGTTATGAAGAGGCTGCTGAGTACCTGCCTTCTGACAGGCATTGCCTGGAGGTAGTGTGTTCAGGGGCAAAGTAAAAAGTCAAATCCCTGGAAGTGTTCAACACCAAGTTGGGTGGGGCCCTGAGCAACCTGTCTAGTGGCAGGTGTCCCTGCCCAGGGTGGGGGAGTTGGAACCAGGTGATCTGTAAGGTCCCTTCCAACCCAAATGATGCTGTGGTTCAGTGATTCTGAAATAAATTAAGTCCCCTACAGGGTGACATGTTATATTCTTGTCCCCATCCAGAGGCTTTTGGGATTCTGTGTATATATTGATGTTAAAATAGATGTTCTGGTACTGACTGGGGAGAAAGCACTTCCAGACTTGGCAGCAGCATCCATCCCTCTGTAACTAGCTGTTCTGCAGGTGTTGGTTTATTTCTGATTTCTTTAAAAAAGTGCATAATATTTTTAAGATGGCACATATGGGAAAACATCCAGGTATGATGGCTAAAGCTACATGAAATCAGCTTTAAGGTCATGGGTGGCATGGATGAAAAATGTGCCGTTCTCCAGGCCAGGTAGAAGAGGCTGACTCCCTTGTTGGGACTCCTGAGAGCTGAACATACATTATGTGGGCAGTGAACAGCTACTGTTCACAGCTCTTCTTGTGAGTTTGCACTGGAATTAGACTTCAGGTAGCAACCTAAGTGTGAAAAGCTTCATGTTCAATTGCTAATCTCCAAATTAGACAGTGTATTCCCCCTGAAAAAATGGAGATTCTTTTACATCAAAAAATGTTAAGTGTCCCTTATCACACATGTGCAGAATTTTACAAGGTGGGAGTATTTTTAGGGGCTGTATGTTGCACATTACCATTTTCCCTTCTATGTTGTGGAAGTGTAATTCTGGTTCCAGATGGAATGTGTACATGTATGAATGGTTTTTGTTGTGGTGCTCAGAGCAGGTAGGAAGACATAGGATTTTCATTCATCATTCCTCATTCCTGAATCTTTTATTTTCTCTTGCAGGACAGAGGAAGTTCCTACAGTGGAAGAAGCATAGTCATTTGATGTCAATACTGGAAGAACTAAGATTCCCACTGGACTCCTCCTAGTTTTTCTATTTAGGTTGGGATGGCTGCTTTTGATTGAACAGACAAACAGCAATAAAACAGATGAAGCAGCTTCCCCTTAGGCTTACAACTCTGAAGAATATTTGTCTAGTGCCATGAAAGCCATACATAACCTATTTTTATTGCTGTGATTTAGAAACTTAGGTTGGGCTAAGTTCTAATGGGCTGAGGTTTGTTGAAAACATTCTAGTAGAAACAGCAGATTTTTTCACTAAACAGTGTATTCCCAGTCTTTAAAGAGAGATACCAGTTCTCTCTGTTAAGTGTCGTGGCACTGCAGGGAGCCCAGTCTGTAGAATGCTGGTGCTTTGCACACCAGTTACTGGAGGAAGGTTCCAATGTTCACAGAGTTGTAAAGTCACAAGACAGTAGAAAAATTTAGATTGGAAGAGGCCTCTGGAGGTCATGTGATCCAGTGCCCTGAGAGCTTTGTGGAGGGAGGCACAATATCTTTCCAGGGCCCTTTGTTGTCCCTCAGAATGTGTAATGTTTGTTGCTTCTGCCTGGCTGCTCAGCATAGCTGGGACAGTTGTGTCCTTTTGTCCCCACTAAACCTCTCTCCCAAACAGGAGGATCACAGTGTTGGAAGAATGTTGAGTGCCTTAATAAGGTCTCACTGGCATGTCTGCAAATTGCCAGCTTATCTGCTCTTTACTGACTGAAAGAACCTGTTCTTCTTTGAGCCTAGACCTTAGTGCCTTAAAAGATACTTGTTCTAGCCTTTAATCCAGACTTGAATTTATTTGTAAACTCAAATTTATCAGGGTTTGTCCTTCCCTACAAGGACTGAGCAAAGTATGACTACTCTTCTTTATACCATGGACCAGAATTTCCTTCAGCTCAAGTAAGCATGGTTTTGGTGAATATATCTTGCCTAAGCCATGTGCTTTTTTCCATATATTTTATATTCTCCCTTTCCTCTCCATGCCATGTATCATATACATGGGGTGGGATAAAGGGCTCTGGGGAAGTCTTATAGTCACCATTTTTACTTGATCTTTACCCTGACCAACCCTGCATGTGTGGTGCATCTAATCTGGAGCTGGATTGTAGGATTTCCTCAGTTCTCACCCTGACACTACAATACAGAATTTCTCCATGCTTTGAGACCAGTTGTGAAGGAGAACTTGTCATTTCTCCTTGATGAGATTAATCCACTGTTTTAATTTAAAATGTGCTGGAGAAAGAGAAGTTCTGTGGATTCTGGCTGCTTCCATGGGAAGCTGTCTTGCCAGAGGCACTTGGATTTAAGAGACTCTGTGGTTGGTGAGGAGCTTTTGGAGAATCTTGTGAATTTTTTTGTAACCCAGAGGCACTGGAGACTGGCCAGTACCAATGACTGTCTTGCCTAGCTTATTTCCTAGCCTGTCCCACATGGCTTGCTACTTGCTACTGTTACACTTGCTACTGTTTGGTTTTTAATGTCCTGATTACTGATGTGCTTATGCTTTTCCCTGGAAAACATGGAGAGACTTTCACTTTCTCCACCTCTTTTTTTTTTTTTTTTTTTTTTTTTTTTTTTTTTTTTTTCTTTTCTTTTGGACAATGATGGGAAACATCACACTTTGAGCAAGTGGTTCTAGCTTCCAGTGTAGTTGCTGGACAAACGAGGGCCAGTCAGAGTGTTCATCTTCCTACAGTTTCTTGGCTGAACATGCTTATTTCTAATTCTTGCCTATGGAGATAAAGTAGGAGGACCAAGGACCTTCTCTGGTTGACTTTGTTTCAGCACTGGAGGCCTACTTTTTTGAAGACAGAGGGTCTCTTCCTTATTGTTGATGGCTATCACAAAAATTAAAAAAAAAAAATAGGCCCAGACTGAGCAATGTGAATTGACCCATGAGTCACGTTTAAAATATAGGGATTTGTTTTTGCAGAACTTGCAAAGCTAGGATCACTCTTGAATCTATCAGCCACTGTCTGTGGATCATTTTTTTCTAATTTTATAACATGCTTAGGATTTTTATGAACCACCTTTTTGTATGATGGATTATTTTTATTAGTTAAGAGGCATTTACGATGACTGCAATGACAGAAAATTATATGGGGCTGCTTCTTCCAAAACTGGCAACCAGTTTACGTATTATTAGATATTTACCTTCTGCTGACTTTTAGCAGATTGCCAGGGCCCTGCAGATTCTACCCTTGGAAGCTGAATTGGTAACTTGGAATTTGACTCTTTCCTTGTGCCTCCAATAGGTTCATACATTATGCAAGACAACTTTTTCCTGTCCTAGCCCAAATGTCCAGGCTTCAGGAAAGGGCTGCCTCTTTCTGCATCAAAGAGTAGAGACTATTTGCAACACACAGTGAGATTCCAAGATAGTTTCATGGAAGGAGTTCACTTTCCTTCACATTCAAATGTGTACAAGCCAACACGTATCCAGCAAGTTTTCCCAAGAGCAAGAAGCCACTCACACTGCAAGAAAACCAAGATGACTCTCTCTGTAACAGGAGTAGGTGTTGGAGCTGCTGGAGTATGAGCACATCAACAGCAGAAGTGGTGCTTTTTTTATATCCATCCTATGAAGGAGCCCTCCATCTTTCTTTGTTCCTATAGTCCCCATAATTGAGCTAGAGTGACTAATTGTAGATTTGTGAACACAATTCACAAATTGTGAAGTCTGAAGGGTTTTATCTATATCATACTTGATTTCCTCTTCAGTGACTTTGTTCATGTTTATAGAAACATTAAACAAAACTCTTCAGGGAAAATTGATTGTATCTCCGTGTTAATTCTGCAACTTCTTAAATTGTGACAGAAGCAGATTGGGTGATCCAGCAGGGAAGCAGAAATGATACCAGGTTTACTGGGCTGTGGACCACTGTGGTTCATAAAGCACCAGCTGGTGGGCTGTGAAATAACGACAGAGGAAATCTATCTTTTTGTGCTTTACAACTGCAAGCAGACAGAAAAGTGGGAAGGAAATAGGCTCTGCCTTAGATGCTTATTTCTGATTTTAATTGGCTATAAATGAAACCCATTGTGGCAGCATTGTACAATACAACGTGGACCCTTTTCCTGTAAGATCACAGGGTCTTTGACTTTTTAAGGGAGAGAGTGAACAACTCCAATACAGCACACTGAAAGAAATAACAGTAGGAAATATCCTAGCCCCATTCTTTTTACATTGCAATTTATTCATGCTTAATTTTTTAGCCATTCCAAAGAGCTGATTTTCATATCTCAGCCCATTTATGATGGAAAAAGTTGAATATTTCACATATGGAAGGTATTGCTATTCTAGATTTTTGTTCTTCCGTTCATGCCGGAAGAACAAGGAAAATACCTTACCCCCAAAGAATGAATCTTTTGTCGCAGATAAAGCCCTTTCATAGCCACCGGTGTTACCCTGATTTAAAATAATGTAATGAGTAAGTGACCATGCCACGCTGGGCCAGATAAGGTCACCCATGCTACAGTCAGCTGCTTTCTACCTCAGACCAGAGATGCATAAGAGAGATAAAGAATTGTGTGATTTTTTTCTTTGATTAAGAAAGTACTCGCAGTATCTGGCTTTCTTGCTTATTTGCAGAGCGCCCTGCCATTCTGGAATGCCATTCCAGGAATGGGGAGCAAGGGCTGCTTCTGTGCAATCATTGATCTGCGGTCTTGGCAAGTGCCTGTTTGGCACTAGAAAGTGCTGAAACGCCCAGCTGCTATCTCTGGGATTGTATTCATGATAGCACTGCCTAAAGTTAGGCTGACTTCAGGACTGGGAACTTGCCTGGTGTGATAACAGCTGCAATGCAAAGCTCTAGCAGTATGAATTGCCACACAGGGCAGCTAAGTCCCTTCTGTTACTACCTCCTGCAGCACATCAGTTTAAAACACCATCTTAGAGCCTCCCATTTGTTGACCTGACATAAGAAAGAAATGACACTTGAGGTTATCTTAAATTAACCCCTCCAAGAAATGACTGTTCATTCCTGTTTCTGCTAAGTTTAATGCCTATGATGTGCCTTGTGCTGGTCTTCTGAATGTTATTCCAGCTGTAAAAGAAGATGATACATGTGTAGATTCTCTTCAATGACTGTCTAATGTATAATTGAAATATAAGAGAACTTTTAACCAGTTGCTCCAGTGTATTCTTCCTAGACCATAAATTGTTTTTTAGTGTTTGCACCAGAAGTAGAACTGAAAAGTCTCTGTTCTTATTTCTTGAGTTAACCTTTTTACACATCAGTGAGAATCTTCTGCTGTTATTTTTTTGGACAAAAATGCAAAATGTTTTGCTTGTATGTGGGATTTTTTTATTATTATTATTTTGGGAGACTTATTTTTCTTTATTTTTCTAAGAAAAAAGATCATTTGGATAAAAACCTAGAGAGTGGAAAAATGTTTGGAAACCACTGTCAGCCCTCTTCAATGATGTGAGTCATTGTAGCTTGGCTGCCGTGTCTGTAAAACAAGAACACTTACTGCTTGCTTCTAAAGCACTTGGAGCACCGTGAGAGGAAAAGTCCTCTAGAAATCTTGTTTGGCTGATAAATGAAGGTACTGGTTGAGCTTTTCACACTTACCATACGTGAGAGTCACCCAATAAACAAGTGGTTGACATGAGAATGGAAATCTGTTGGGTCTCACACAGTAGGCCCGATTTCTGTCCTCCCATTCCCGCAGCTGGCACCCTTTGTAGTTCAGTGTTGCAGCCTTTCTGTCTCCTACCCCTGGCTGCATGTGCCAAAAACAGGTGACAGGACCTACTGGAGACCCAAGGGCCACTTGGAACACAAGCTATGGGAAAACATTCCCTACAGCAGCAGTGCAGCCACTTTCTGACTGGGACTGGTGAGCCTTGGGAGATGTTACCATAGAATCTTAAGAATGGTTTGCATTGGAAGGGACCTTACAAGGTCATCTCATTCACCCTGCCCCTGCCTTAGGCAAGGATACCTTCCACTAGACCAGGTTGCTCAAAGCCCCATGCAACCTGGCCTTGAATACTTCCAGTGTCCACAACTTCTCTGAACAACCTGTTCCACTGTCTCACTTCCCTCTCAGTAAAGAATTCTTCCTTGCATCCAATCTAAATCTAACCTCTTTCAATTTAAACCTGTTTCCATTTCTCCTGTCAATACAAGCTTTGGTCAAGTCTTTGTGTTCTTACAAGAACCCTTTAAGTATTGCAAAGCTGCAATAAGATGTCCCTGGAGCCTTCTCTCTAGGCTGAACAGCCCCAGTTCTTTCAGCCTTTCCCCATGGGAGAGGTGTTCCAACCCCATGATCATTTTTTGTGCCCGTCTGGATCTGCTCTAATGGCTTTGTGTTTCTTGGGCTGGGGATCCCGTAGCTGGATGTTCCTCCTGGTAAGTTTTGACAGCTGTCTCAGGTGTATTCTCATCTAGTCAGCCTGTGCAAAAACAGTTGGTCATGGGGAAAGAAGTGTGAGAGGGGTGCACACCTCTGTGCACCATTTGGTTAATGCATTTGCTGTAAATGGAGAGGAAACAGCTGTAACAGCTGCAGGTAAGTGCAAATGGTCAGAGCAGTGGCGTTAGAGCACAGGAAGAGTGGGAGCAAAATTTAGCCCATCTCTAGCTATTATTAATGTGGAGTTTGGTCAGTTTATGAAAAGGGCCTCCATGACATGGTTTGCCTGAAAAAGTAGGGGTCTCAGTGACCCAGAAGCTGCCACATCTCTTGGGCTCAGGTCAGACTGACCCTCCATTACCAAATCTCAATAACAGGTCCAGAGTCCTCCACCACTTCTTGTCTGTCCCACTGAGCTGGATGTGCTTGCAAAAGAGCACATGGGGAAACAAAGCAGGACCTTTGACCCCTTGCTACCACTATATTAGCTCTGCATAAATGCCGGGGTCTCAGATGAGCACCTGCCTCAGCTTGGGCCTGAGAAAGAGAGAAAGCAGGACAGGTAAGAGCTGAACTCTGTTTGGGTGGCATGGACTTTGTGACTGGTGTATCTAGATCATAGACAACTGAGTGGAGGTAGTCTTCTAGTTTGCCCCATCTCCTACTGCAAATCAAATTGTGAGCCCTTCTCACACTCCATAGCCAGGAAATAGAGGCGGGTGGCAGTACCTGGGGTCACCTGCTCTGAAGCTGAGAGACGGATGCTCCGTAAGACACTCATAGAAGGGTCAAACCCATGGTGGGAATTGCAGAATTCAAGTGTTGGGAGATACATTACCTTTTCCCAGGTGCCTTCACCACAGGGACTGCAGGTTCTAAAGCGGGTAAGAGCACCTGGCCGTGCTCCTGCAAAGCAAATTTCTGCCTTTTGTGTACACAGAGAGAAACTGGCTCTGGGATTAAGAATCAAGGGAAGGTAATAAAGAAGCAACTGTGCAAACATCTAATGAACTGGGTGGTAGCTTTTGGAGGTAATCTGTAACAGAAGGAAGTAAAAATGGATGGAAATCTCCTTACTGTGGGATAAGAAGGAACATTGACTTGTAACCACCTGGTACAGGATTTAGCAAAGCATTCACATATAAATAGACTTTCAGCCTATTTTTCCATTGCATTCCTATGTTCAATGTTTTCTTCACATTGCTCTGAGTGCTCTGACTGATGCAGCCCTCTAATTGGGAGCATAAATCAATTTTAGTTTCTAAACACCTTTTTTTTTAGTGCAGCATATTTGAAAGCTTGTTTCTATTTAATGTGGTATTTCAGGGTACCAAGTAGGAAATTTTCAATTCTCCAAGTCTGACTTTTTTAAAAGACAAAAATTAAGGAAATCAGCTGAAGCTAAATTTTGCAGTCACTCACTTTTGGAAACTTGTTCTGCTGAGGCTACAGTCTGCTGCATTAATACCAGGGTGAAAAAGACAAAGGAACCTA